AAATACACAGTCCTCTCTGGATTACAATCCGCCATCAAAATGATACATTTAATTATTCCGGCTGCTGTGAGAAAATGCTATAAACGATCCGCCACCTGCAGGATCCTCACATGCGATAGCCTACTAGCCGGGACAACTTCTCTATGTTTACAGATGTGACGTAATGACGCAGCGCCATGCTCGAATTTCCGTGAAAACCTAGCCGTACAACTCAAATTAGAAAACATTATTATAAGCTTACCGTTGTGAATAGGGCTAAAGTAAGGCGATAGTTTTGAACACTGGCTGGTTATGTACTTGCTCAAATATTGATTTCGGATCATTTTTAACCAAAAAAGGTTACGGACTGCAGCTTTAAATGTATATTACCGTTAAGTAGAGTTATTTTAAAATATACTTTTAAGATTTAAGTAAACCACAAGTGCACATTCAGTACATAGCACAACTATATCTAATACAGTTTGTCTAACTTCTGGGGGAAGTCGTGGCCTAATGGTTAGAGAGTCGGACTCGTAACCCAAAGGTTGCGGGTTCGAGTCTCGTACCGGCAGGGATTGTAGGTGGGGGGAGTGAATGTACAGCGCTCTCTCCCACCTTCAATACCACGACTGAGGTGCCCTTGAGCAAGGCACCGAACCCCCAACTGCTCCCCGGGCGCCGCAGCATAAATGGCTGCCCACTGCTCCGGGTGTGTGTTCACGGTGTGTGTGTGTTCACTGCTGTGTGTGTGCACTAAGGATGGGTTAAATGCAGAGCACTAATTCGTAGTATGGGTAACCATACTTGGCCACATGTCACGTCACATGATCCTTTTTTTAAATTACAGATGAGGTTGGAGTATATTAATATGTCTAGTCCAGTCATAAAGTTTCTAAATATTTCCATACACACATATCTATGTGTTTCCTTAATCACTGTCTTCATCCTGTTACTTTTTTTATTGTTACTGTTGTTGCAAGTGTGAGCAGCTGAACTTAAACCGTGTCCATGCAATGACAGTCACAAAAAAACAGGCAACATGAAACAATCAAGGAAAACTTTAATGGTAGCACATTAAATTCACAGAGCTGTAGGATGAAGTTTTTTCTTCTTGCTTTACATTTTAGTAAAAACAATATGGGAGAAGTCTCCGTGGCCCAATGAATTATGAAATATATTCAAAACAAGAAAGAACTGGCAAAATCAGTTAGAAATACTCCAAAGGCTGCTGTGAGTTGCATAAAACACTTCAGATGTCATCCCTGAATTCTCATCTCCCAGTTATCATGAGTCTGTATGCTTGTTTTGAGCTGCTCGTTACTGTGTTTTCTTTTCCAAGCCTTTGACTTGTCCCTCCAGTCTTCTGATTCGGCTTTCCAGACAAACGGCTTTGCCTGCTGTCCCACCGCCGCTGCTTGTAGCGACTCCAAACACAGCACAGATGAGCATTAGTAGAGTCAGTCTCATTGTAGTGACTTCAGTGGAGGCAGCGGGGTCACAGACGATCCGCAGAAACAGCCACAGCACTACGACCGCTTTAATCAGCCAAAACGCTCGCCTTACAAGCCCCACGGTGACGCGAAGCAACAAGGACAGGAGCCAGTATCCAATCAGAGCCAGCAAAGCCCACTTGGTCACAGCAGACACACCCTCTGCGGTGAAATGAGGCACTGATATCGTCTCTTTGAATAGGACACAGACAGAAAGAAAAAAGAACAGATGTTAATTGGGTGTAGCAGTTTCTAAGGTGTTATAAGTGGTTGCTAAAGGGCTGATGTTTTGGTTGGTGCTAGGTGTAAGTCTATTGAATTTTTTGCCCATTTAATCATCTGCTCTGTAAAAATTAAAGTTAGTTCACCCACAAATGAAAATTAGCCCATGATTTACTCACCCTCAAGGCATCCTAGATGTATATGACTTTCTTCTTTCAGACAAATCCAATCGGAGTTATATTAAAAATTGTCATGGCTCTTTCAAACTTTATAATGGCAGTGAATGGGTGTTTCTGTTCAACAGACCAAAAGAAGTGCAATAAAGCACATCCATCCATAATAAACAGTGCCTCACATGGCTCCGGGGGTGAAAAAAAAAAGGCCTCCTGTAGTGAATCCATGCATTTTTGTTAGAAAAATATCTATATTTAAAACGTTATAAACACTTTTCTAATTTTTTTAAATAACTCCGACTGGATTCCTCTGAAAGAAGAAAGTCATATACACC